AAAGTCCTTGACTAGTGTAAGCACTGCTTAGCAACAACTAAAACATGGGTGTGTTATCAACATTGTTCTCATCCTAAATCCAAAACACAGCACTGTACCAGCTACTAGGAAGGAAATTAACTCTATCCCAGACGAAATCAGGACAGCATGTCTCTAGCTCCATGAGCATCCAAAACGTCAAACATGGCAGGACAGCTGGTCAGAGAGGCAAGTGATCTGTTCTGCGGGTTTTTGAAGGAACCGTGGGGCTGTGATTTTCCTTCCCATGTGCCTCTGTCAGCAAACAGGAAGCATCAAATATGGAACTGGTGTGACAAAGCCAGACTCCCCAGCTAATGGGATGTTCTATAGATCTGCTGAAGTTAGCAGCGTGCTGATTTTGGCTATTTCAATACAGGAAAGAGCTCACTCAGAGATACTCCATATTATGTGACATAGCTCACCTTCCCATACGTTCTTCTACAGCCCTTACCCTCTTCAGCTCCGACTTACACCCTTTCAGCCATACTGCAAAGATGATACCTAATATCAAGGGCTCTCTAGAGTGGAAAATGTCTTTCTGAAGACCACCCAAAGAACAACAGGAATAGCTTACACAGACTTTCCTCACGTGAAAAGGTCTAACCAGAAATTCCCTTCTTGCAGCTAGTGCCCAATGCCTCTTTTACTTCATGGCACACTTCTAAGAAGTCTGGTTTTATCTTTCCTATAGTCTTCTTTGGGAAGTGAAAGAAGCTTTCAGATTCTCTGAACCTTCTCTTCTCCAGACAGAACAACCCCAGTTTCCTCAGCCTCTCCTCATGTCATTTGCTGCAACTCCCTCATCTCTAACACTTCCCAACATTTCCTCCAACTCTTCTCAGCAAAAAGGGGAATCACCAGGGTGTCCTTCTGCTGAGCACATTACGACTTAGAAATTCAGCCCCAGCCTCATGCTGTTATTCTGGGACTGCCTCACTCTACCTCCTATAGCTGCTCCTTCCTATTCTGTAACTATGGAGATGCTGAACAAGTGCATCCTGCTGCTTGCTTGATCCCAGCAACAACACTGGGTGAAAAAAAGACACCAAATGCAGAATTCTGCAGGAAAATACCTAGAGCCAGGACAGACCTCTAGAGAGGCAGGAGTCTGGGGTTGCTTGAATCACAGCCTAGAATATATGTCTACACCTTCTCAGTGCTATCCCATGAAGAAGCAGCATACCTGGCTCCTCACCTGTTCAGTCCCTGGCAGTATCCAATGGCAGGATTGTGCCAGGAGAATGCCAGCAACACCCTCCGGAGCTTGGGGATGAGCTGGGAGGTGGGAGAGGAAAAATGTTTGTTGTTGGTCAGTGTGCGGGGCAGGTCGAGTTCAATCTGCCGGCAAGCAGGGTGCTCAGTGCTCTTGCTCTGCCGTAACAGCCGCTGGTAGTGGTCAGGCAGATGGCTACAGTGCCGGCTGACAATCCACGTCCAGACCCGTTGCCGATGCTCCACTGGAATGCCACTTCGGATCAGGCTCTTCAGCTCTGCAGAGGGGCTCAGCTCTCCAACACTGTTCCACCTGTCACGGAGGGGCTTCTCCACTACTTCCTGGCTCCGCAGGTTGTTGGACTTTATCTCCAGGGCTTGGATTTTGGCCAGAAGTTTCCAGTCCTCAACTTCATAGTCAGGTACAGTCATAAACCCATACTCATCATACTCACTGGAGGGACACAAGGCAGAGGTTAGTTCAAAGGACAGTGCTGGTACCTGCATCAAGGGCCACTCACTGCTTGGGGCCATGGCAGCTACAGCCTGCTGCCAGGTTCCTGTAACCCATGCTGGAGCACAGGTACTCGTCCTTCACTTCTCTGGCAGCTGCATGCAAGAGCCTACCATGCCCACTGTCTCAGAGCCTTGAAGACAAATGAGGGCCTGCAGCAATGGCATACGCACATGAACTCAAGTGTAACTCTGCTCTGAGCTACAGCCCAACCTCATCAGACCTCTCTCACTTCACCTGCTCCCCTGTCCCTAAGGGAGTATCTAGCTCAACCTGTGTACCTTCTCCCTACCACATCCTAGTGCAGAGACAGTTCTGTAGAAAGGGACTGCAAAGGCTTTGGGGCATCAGACCAAAGAACAGAGATCCACAGTCCCTTCTGATGCTCCCCTGTACACAATGCAAATCTCCTACTGATCGGAAAACACCAGGAGCACTGATAGTACAGCTCGTTGAGGGTTTGTGCATCATCAGTCCACAGGCTGAAATACTTGTAAGATACCATTATATTCTAGACAGAGAGACCAAGCTTGGCCTTGGGGTCTCATCTCCAAAGCTACCTGGAGAACCTGATGAAATGGAAACCAGATGAAATGGAAACTGCTACAGACCTGGGCACTAACTGGGCAGGAAAGCATAAACACAAATGCAAGGACCCCAGCAGCGCTGATGGCAAGGCTCTCTAGAGGTCTCCAGTCCAGCCCCCCTTCACTGCAGGATTGTCCCCTGCACTAGAACAGGACAACAGTGGCTTTGTATGGCTGGGACTAGAAAACCCCAAAGGATGGAGATCCCCCACCTCCCAGGTGGCCTCCTCTCCTACAGAAGGAGTTTATCCTCATGTCCAGTGTTTACCTCCCATGCACACCATGGCTGTTGTCACTTGCCATACCATCTGCCACTGCCAAGAAAAGATTAGCTGTACCATCTTGACCTTCACCTTCCTACAGTGATATGCTGCTATCAGATACTCGTGGTCTCCACACCACCAAACTAAACCAGCTTCCTCAACCTCCACTCCTAGGTCATGGCCCCAAGTCCCTGCTATAGAAATGTCCCTGGATCTTTCTTGCCTGCACATTCCCCTCCACGGCCAGACTCCTACAAGAGTGTGAATATCCCCATGCTCTTGCCTCTTACCTCACAGCATTCAGGTTAAAACCTTCTTCTGCTTCTTCCTTCACATCCCACTGGAGCGCTTCCTGGATGAGGTTCCTCACCAACTCAGCATGGGAGCTGGGCAGGCCAGGCACAGCCTCCTGCAGCTTCCGCAAGACTGTCAGGTATTTGCTCTCCATCTGGCAGTTTCGTGCTTGCAGGCAGGCACACTGATGGGGAAACAAGAGGGAATGAGCTGGCTCATTGATGGTTCTTCCTGCGTTGCCACTGCTCTCTACTGGCCTGGTTTGCACATAAAGTGAAGACTCCTGAACAGCAAAGCCCCAGAAAAAACATCCAGCAGTTTTCTACAGTCAGTGGAATTGCAGCCATTAATGAATCACAGTGGTCTATGAACAAGCACAAGCTGCAGTAGCTAGCATGCAACAGAAGTTGCTTATCCATTGGAAGACCTACTACAGCATCACCTACATTAGCTACTGCACTGCATCAGTGGATGACCATATCCCAGCCAGCTCAGCTTGAGACACAACCAAAGAGCCACCACTGCAGCTGAGTTCTCTGCAGGCTTTTTCCCTGCTCCTCAGACAAGTTCTCTACCCCACATTGAGCTGTATCCTGACAAAAAACACTGCTCCTGGGACTGAGCTATGACCATACCATTTTCAGGATACACGGTAGCACCACAGACAAGGTGACCACATGCCCCTCAGCAACCCCAGTCCCATGGCACTGGTACACAACATTTCTCAAGCACAGGAAGCCCAACCGAGTTCAAACAGCAGGACAGTCCCTGCCACCACCATACTCCTGGGCACATAGATCAGAAAAAAGGAATGAGGACTGTTATCCCCACTCCACAAGTGGGGAACTGAGGCCACACAGGTGACAAGACTCACCCAATGTCTCACAGGAAGCTCAATGAAGACTCCTGCTCAGTGGGAAGCAGCAGTTGAAAACAAAAACAAAACACAAACCACAGAGAGAATTAGGCTGCATATAGAGGGGACAGAAAGGAGCGTGGGATACTGTCATACTACCATTTTAATCAGCTTTTTGCCTCACATTGAGCATGTTGGTCTGATTACTTCCTTTCTGAAGGTTATGGCAGTTTCAGGATCAGAGAAGGGCAGTAAGTTAGGAGGTAGGCAGGGTTTCAAAGGACTAGAAAGCAAACAGATGTAAGAATGGCAACAACATTTCAGAAGCAGCTTTTTGCCCTGTTCCAGAATCCAAGACTGTGGAGACATAACTTAAAACCCAGGGAAGTAAAATCCAGGGAAAACCCACAGAACAAATGCCAGCACACACCACCAGCCTGGGGAAGTGGTTAAGGACCAGAAGTTAGACAAGTCTGAGAGTAACCAGGTTATGCACATTTACAAGGCCAGAAACAACAACAGAGCTTAAGAAAACATAAAAACTCTGATCTAGCTGCAGGACCTGAGAGTGCTGCCACCTGGCAGTACCAAGCCTGGTAGAGAACTCAAGACTAGATGGAGCCAGGGCTCAGTCAGTTTGCCAGCTCTCAGGAAAATATTCTGATTCCCTACACATAGTGTTGCTTTTTTATTTGTATCCAAAAACAGAGCTGAAATGCAGAAATCTTGGTTAAGTTTCAGCACCCTTAAGACTGAGCTTTACAGGTATTTTACTTTTACTGAAGAATGAAAATGATCATGTATAATTTGGGAACAACACAAAGCAGAAAAAAAGGTCACACTAAAAAAACACATTGGGAAGAAAGCTTATTCCTGGTGTGTTTTGGACCAAAATCCATTCCAGTGCCAACTTTGGAAAGAAATTAGTAACAGCTCTCACCAGGGAAAAAAGTCATTTTGCCTTACCTTCATCAGAAGGGCTTTTTCATTCTCAGCAACACTTGTCCAGAGTCGAGTAACCTGGTGAATCTCTGAGTTGAGAAATTGGTTCTGGGTTTTGTATGCATCAATATCATCCTGCCACGAAGCAAAACAGTCACACAAGGAGAGTTCTTGAGGGGCTTGGAATCCCCTCCCAGTTCAGGCACCTCAGGTGTGGATTGCATTAAGGACAAGAAAATATCTCAACAATTTTGTGTTCTAGGGAGAAGACAGGACTCCCCAGGACAAACATTGCCTACAAAGGAAATCAAGGCATAACATTAAATAGAGTGTCATGCATAGACAGACACTTGAAAATGCTAAGTGCACTGCATGTACATGCTTAGAAAACACAGAGACATCCAGGTGATATAAAGCTAGAGATGCACCTAAATAAGACGAAGAATATATGTGTTGTGTTCTATTTTTTTTAAAACTGACACAAATCTCAGCCCCATGGCTGGCAGCAAAAACACTCTCCCACAATGCAGTAAGTGGCTCTTTTGGCAATTCTCCACCCCAGCTAACTGGTCATTATAGCTGTGCATATAGTGACATATAACAGGCTGGATTTGAAAGAACCAGGATGTATTGAGAAACTGTTTGCAAGAGGGAAACACAGAGGAACAAAGCTAGTGAAGGCAGCAAGTGAGACTACAGCTGTGAAACAAAAGAAGAACAAAGAAAGAGGCAGGCACTGAACAGTGACACGAAATCAACAAAACAGGCTCTGAACTGAAGCTGAAACTGGCCCAGATGCTTTTAAGCACCCTACTGGTATCCAGTGAGCCCCTTCCAGCCTGCCTCTGGTTTGGAGACAGATGGAGCAACTAGCAGAAGTATATTCTGTGCTTCCCACAAGGAACACCCTCCCATTGAACCAGAGGGCACAGAAATGGGAGCCCCCAAATGACCTGTGCCATCTCACACACCTTCAGGTGCTCAATCTCCTCCTGCTGCTTATACAATGTCTCTGCAGCAATAGTGTTGGCTTCTTGCGGAGGGTCAGAGATCTCTCGGGCCATCTGCTCCGTCAAGGCCATGACGACTTCCTGTTTGGCATGGTTCTTCTCCATCAGAAGCTGCACGTGCTCCTTGAGTTCCTGGATGTGGCTGTCTCTCAGAGTCAGTATCTGCTCCAGTTCCTTCTTTTCTTGTTCAAGAGCTTCCAGCCGACTGGTGAGATCTGCGATTTGTCTCACTTTGTGGCGCACCAGCTCCAGCCTGTCCTTATCTTCTGCTGCAGTGAGATACATGCTAGATACTCGCTTCTCCTGCTGGGCTGCCTCCAGAGCTTTGTGGAGAAGTTTAACCAGCTCCTGAAAAGCGAATGCGAAGCCATTACATCACAGTGCTGCCCAGGGCAATGGCAGCACAGACAGCACAGACCCAACCAGTACTGAGTGAACAGTGGAAGGTCCTCAGGATCTTGAAATTGACTCCTTTCAGAAGCAAAACTGAATGCAGCAATCTTGAAATCACAGTGCTTCCCCAGTAGAGAAGCTCTGCTCTCAGAGCTGGGCCTGAAAGGTGTCTGCAACAGATGACTTGACTTTAGGTGGATTGCTAACAGACAAGCTGCTGCTCACACTGTCTGAATTCTGACTTTCTATAGTCATCCTTCTTGGGAGGCCCAGCAGAGACCAGAGAAGCTGGAGATCTGGTCAGCAGTGTAGTAAAATAGGAGGGAGGGAAATAATGCAGTCTGCATCCATCTGTGCTACCAGAAGGAAACTGCTGTATCCATTTTAACCTTCCCTCTGCCAGAGTCGTCCCTCACTCCATCCCACATGAAGGCACAAAAGCTTGCCCCAGCAACATGCTGCCAATTCAGGCTCTGCCATCTCAGCCATTTAAGGGAAGCAAATCAAGGATGCAACTGATTGCCCACCACGGGACCTGGCTCTCCTGCCTCTTATGCTGGAAGAGCTACCAGCATCATTAGTGGAGAGCCTGGCATTGCTCCATGCTTGTGAAGAAGAACAGTACCATTCAGGAGAGGCAGCCCTTGCAGTGACCCATGCGCTGACTTCTACAGTCAAATCAACTCTTAATGGCGGATCACTGTCCAAAAAGTATGACCTGCTGTTAACAGCATGACTCAGCCTGGCAGTTCCTGCCAGTGTCACGGTACATATTCAGGACTGTACTTCGTACATTCACTGAGCAATACAGATGCACCAGCAAGACACCTGCAGAGCGCACTGGGATTTGTTTTACCTCCCTTTTCCAGCCCATCTGCTAGCTGCACTTCCTAGCAATGGCTGAAGGACAGCCCATTCTCCCTTGTGCTGGGCACAATCAGGCACATACAAAGGGATAACACCAGGAGCTTCAACTGGTCCCCAGTGAGTGCCTGTTGAGCACTTCTCAGCCTAACACCAAGGTATAAGGGAGTCCCTATGACCAGTCTCAGGGCCCTGCCCTTAGAAGCAGCAGACTCTTCACCACACTCACCTTCTGTGACTTGACTTCCTCTGTGAGTGTCAGGATCTGTTGCTGTAGGACGCTCACTTTATCCATTGGGTTCCTCTCCCTGGACAGTTCTTCAGGCAAGCCTGGGAAGCCACTGTTCATCCACCTGGCTTTCCTAACCCAGTTCAGCCTGGGCTCCATCCTCCCATCCTCCGGGGTCCCCTCCTTAACTGAAGGGAAATAGGGTAATTTACACAGAATTGGGTTGCTATTGTGGACTTCTGAGTCTTGCTATGGGGGCACTCACAACAGCTCAGCAGAGAAGACTGACACACAGGACAAGGAAAATTGACCTGCTGGGATCCACAGCGTTGAAGCACAGACAGTAGAGATCAGCCACAGGTACCCCCAGAATAAACAAAGCCGTGATGTTTTACGGTACCTGTTAACCCACCTTGCACCCTGCCCATGTATCTTGCACACAGCAAATGCAAGTTACCACCATGGAGAGGTAACTTCCCAAGCATGCAGTGGAGCTGCTGAGCTTAGCCTGTGACCGTGCAGCAATTTAACTTCTATCTCAAAGAAATACCAGCACGGGCTGGCACCATGGATGGTATTTTTGCCTCTGCAGAAGATTCCAGAGGTAGGAGATAGACAGATGCAGCCTGAAGCAGAGCCAAAAGAGTCAGTCTTGTGCCAACAACACAGGAAGGGACCTGAGACAATGTGATAGAGTTTTCATGTCTCATGACAACTTGCCACCCTCTCCCTCCCTTTCCTGCTAAGTCTGACTCCTTGCTAGAAGGTGTCATACTCAGACCAGCTCACACAGCTCAGTAACAAGCACCTGCACACCCTGCCTCCACTTCTGCCTCTTGCTCCTCATCCGGGTTCTCAGGATGCTCCTGAAATTCACTGAAGCTAAAGACGTTCCCATTTTTCCCCCAGAGCTGCTTGGAGCCACAGATGTTGTAAACAGTGTTTCTGAAACAATAAGAGATCAAGACAGACTAGTGAACAGTGGAAGTCATGATCACTGCAGTCAGTGCATATTCAAACTATTCAACGCCTTACTTCTCCTCATATCCCACCCCTCTTCCCAAAACCTATCTCCTTCATGTGCTGAAAAAATGAACTGTTCATGGCACTGGTGGATCTGAGGGGAGCAAGGCTGTAACTGGTGTAAATCAGGAAGGTGCCACAAAATCAGTACTAGCACAGTAATGTACATCAGCTGAAGATCTTTCCCCATGTGCTTGAGCCCTGTACATAAATGCATCAGGCTGGACAGAGAGATCAAAGGCAACAGTAGACCAACCACATCCCTCCCTTCCTCCCTTCCCTCTCTCCCTTCCTCTCCTCCTCCTCCTCCGCCTCCTTCCTTCCCTCCCTCCCTCCCTCCCTTTCCTTAGCTCACTGTGGAAATCCCCAGGTGCCAAGAAAAACTCGGTTATCTACAGCACAGCCAAAACTGCCACAATGATCACATCTGAAGCAGTCACAGGTCCTGTGCTCTGAACCACATTTAATAACCTTGCCACAACAAACTCAATAGACTTTGATGCAGTAAAGAGATTCAGGAACAAAATTGCTATCAGACCCAGACCAGTTTGTTACAGCTGCTGCTATCAGATATTGCCAGAAGCACTAAGAGATGACTTTACAGCATCATGCAGAACCACAAATGCACAAGTATTTTCTGTAAAACCTATACAGGAAAATGAGACAGTTGCCTATCTCTAAACAGGTCTTTTCCCTTCTCCTCCTGTGTTGTCCATTAGCTAAAACAAAACAAGCCCCTTGTTTTGGGATCTACAAAAGACTCAGTGTCAGCTACTTCCTAACTGTAAATGAAGTTGGCATTTAGGTATTGTTCTCCTTTTGCCTTGTTACTGTAAGGCTCCACAGCAGAAGAGCAGACATTTCTGACCTCAGGGAACGTATTGGCACATAAAGATAAGCAGACCTTCATTCCCTGTAGTCTGCAGTTGGCACTCATCCAACACAACTTTCCTACTTTTCTCTACCTCATGCTGCACTTAGTTTTTCCTCTGAGACAGCAGCAGCTCAGGGATCTGATGAACTTAGCTGAAATCAGACACGCTACACTCATGGAGACCCAGCCTGAGAGTGATAGAGCCTGAAGAAATGTTCACAGAACCAGGGGAGCAATACAATTTTAAGCTGAAAAAAGGCAATTGTTATTCAAGCTAGCAAAAGCAAGGCTGGGGAGAGGGGAGGAGATATGATCATATTATTTTAATCAAAGTGAGGAGAAGACAATGCATACCCTGCAAAATAGTACAGCTGACTCTGATCCTCTTTGGTCTCATGGGGGATCTTTCTTCCTATCAGCAACAGACTGTAGCCACAGTGGTGGTAAAAAACTATAGCCAGCCTCCTCACCAAAAACATTTGGCAGGTGCGAGGCTACCTACCACACCTGTGGCCACTTACACATTTTTGGTTATATGTAAATAAGTGACTAGGACACACTTAAGGAGATGTTGATGGGGGTTGTCTTTGTGCAACTGTAACTGCCCAAGGCTTGTAACTTGTAGTCCTGATGGAGCTACACATAGCAACTGCCAATAGCAGCATCATTGTAGGCAGTGGGAATATTCACATACTTGAAACTCAGCAAGGAGTAGCAAGCTGTGCAGTGTCGAGCCACATTACAGGCTCAAGCACCTTTTGCTTGGAGTTCCTGCTTTAGAGAGTGCACTACATTCAAGGTCCTTTGAAACCACTGGGAAGTGCTAATGGGCTTCTATCACTAGCCTACAGAATACAGCCCAACCTGCCCGTGTGCCCTTCCAAGAGCAATGTGCAGCTGCATTGCAGTAGGCATGCAAACCACCACCTACACTGAAGAAAGCTTAACCAAGCCCTAGGTCTGCCACTAGGATCTTTGCTAAGAGAGCTAGATGATGTGAAATGCATTGGAACAGGCGGATGTGAAAGACCCTCTGGCAGGAAGTTTGCTTTCACCTGGAATACCCTTCAAAAAGCTGCTTCATGGTTCTTCCACCCAGGCAAGAGTCCCATTTCACACAATACATGACAGGCAAGGAAGGCACAAAATGGCAGGCCAGCATGTCAACCGCACTGCAGCTCTCCTCATGCACTTACTGTATCTCTGTCCAAGGGTGCTTAAGGGAGATATTCTGCAAAGCAGTAGATGTTTGGGGTGCAGGCAAAGACGCTGCCTTTAAACCCACTGCTTCTGTTGGTGTTTTCACCGGAGGCAGAAAGTCTTCATTGTCAACAACATCTATGTAAAAACAAACCAGTACACAGAAGCAAGTGAGCAAGACAGAATTCCATTGGACTTTGGCTCCTTCATGTAACTTGAGAGCCACAACATTTTACTACAGGTATACATTCCACATTCAACTGGCCAGGTGGAACAAGGACAGCAGAGCAAGTCTCCTTAGCTTTAGGTCAAATTACAGAAGGTTCCATGTACAGAGTCATCTATTCAAGGACAATCAAGTGACTTCAACTATTTGTATATGAGAATGACTAACCCTAAACAATCGAACTTTAACCGCCTAAAGGAATAAGGAAGGGAGCTGTTGCTGTTCTTCTCCCCTATCCCAAACAGTGTCTGATAGTTTCAATGTGCAGATAACACTCCACAAACACAGTTTGTAACCAAATTATTGCCTGCTGTAGCAAAATGCCAAGGTACCTAGAACCTTTCAGAGCAGACGCTTACTAGGGAGAGAGTTATTTGTTTCAAACAAAATGTGCATCTAGCTCTGGTGAGACCCCACCTGGAGTACTGCGTCCAGCTCTGGAGCCCTCAGCGTAAGAAAGACACGGACCTGTTGGAGTGAGTCCAGAGGAGGGCCACAAAAATAATCAAGGGGGTGGAACACCTCTCCTATGAAGAAAGGCTGAGAGAGTTGGGGTTGTTCAGCCTAGAGAAGAGAAGGCTTCAGGGAGACCTTCTTGCAGCCTATCAGTACTTAAAGGGGGCTTATAAAAAAGATGGTGGCAAACTTTTTAGCAGGGCCTGTTGCGACAGGACAAGGGGGAATGGCTTTAAACTAAAGGGGGGTAGATTTAGACTAGATGTAAGGAAGAAATTTTTTATGCTGAGGGTGGTGAAACACTGGCACAGGTTGCCCAGAGAGGTGGTGGATGCCCCATCCCTGGAAACATTCAAGGTCAGGTCAGACGGGGCTCTGAGCAACCTGATTTAGTTGAAGATGTCCCTGCCCATGGCAGGGGGGTTGGACTAGATGACCATTAAAGGTCCCTTCCAACCCAAACTATTCTGATTCTATGATTCTATAACTAAACAGGTGGACACGCTGGTTGTGCCCTCCCCTGATCCACCAGCCTGTGTACTCCCACTGCTAGGAATACACATCTTCATCCCACCACCGCTGAAAAAAAACTTGCTTGCTGTAAATTTCACAGGCCTCGCAAGAGGAAAGGGATATACCAAATGTGCCCACTTCACAAGCATGAGGAAAATCAAGAGGGAATTCATGATCATAAGATACCTAAGCATCTCCAACCTCATGCTGTGGATTAGGAGACAGCCCATTCACATTCATCCATAATAAGGCCAGAAGTTCCAAACATCGACCAAGCATTGATAGTTGGCACCTGCATTTAAAAACCCGGCCAAAACCTCTGCCCACTTACAGATGAGGAGCATCATTCATCACTGGGGGCTGAAAGCAAAAGAAAGGCTGACATATGCAACACCTACTTGGTCTGCCAGCCAGAGGTTCATTCACAAGCTGGGAGCTGCCCACAGGAAATCTGCTCTGAGCGTTGCAAAATTCCCAACGTCTCACTTGTAGCTGCTGCAGCCAGTACATCATTGCCTGTTTGCTGATTGCCTAACAACACAAAACAGGAAAGGGAGAGGAGTAATCTCATCAGCATGAGACACATCCTGAAAGGCTGACCACCATTTCACTGCCCAAGTCAGCAGAAATAAAGGCCAGCTGTGTCAAGCCTATGCTATATCCTCTGGTCCTAACACTGATTTGGGAGGACAGAGTAAATCTTCAGCATGGCCTTAGTAACAGAACCTCAGTGGATCGCTGACCTCATTTTAAACGTTTTTTTGGGTTACTATGCTCCAAGGCTAAGCAGAAATGTCACGATTATTTTAGCCAGGAACCACCCACAGAGCTTCTTAATGGTGATTTTCACAGAGATAAAAATCTAGCAAAGGTTCCTGCTGGAGCATCATTTTAGACAGGGGAGCTCATTTCTGTTCAGTAAATTACATGTGGACTGCAGGACTCCTCAAGGATTTTAATTCAGCACTCAGTTTGGCTTTTACTCCTATCCTGTTAAACAACTGCCATCTCACAGGTAACGGAGTCCCAGTCTTGCCAAAACAATGCAAGTAATTTAGGTCCAAATGGTAACAGTCGTAACAGTCCAGGCTGGGAGGACTAAAGTGAAACTCAAGCTAAGAGGTATCTTAGCAGAGATGTGTCTGTCCTGATTGGGAATGTTTCACAACAGCCCCCACAAGAAGATGCTGTTCCTTACCTTCAAAGTAAAAACTCTGCTTGGTGTTCTGATCTCAAAAACCCCTTCCCCATTTTCCACCTTGCAGTCAAAGCTGGCATTGGAGAGATCGACAGACCCCAAAGGGTTGATGTCCTGTGCAGTTCTGTAGTATAGTAAATGACATTTGTTTTCATCGTAAAAGAACCAGCGAGACTTCCAGGTCTTGATTGGCCCCTTGATGCCCAGCTTATTTAAATAGCCACAGAGTTTTTTTCTGGATGTTTCTCTGCTGGGTTTCAGCTGTACATTTTCCAGTTCTCCAGAAGAGGAAAGCATGTCTTTCTCTTTCGCTGAGGCTCCATTGCTGCTGTTATTGTCTGGATTTAACTCCACTAAATTGCCTGGAGTGGCAAGGGGACCAGCTCTGCTTTCTGGTCCTTTTTTCATCTCTTTCAGGAAATATACTCAAAATCGGATTGAAATGGGAAATTCTCTAGGTAAGTAAGTAACAGCAGATCCCAACTATATCATCATTGTTATAGAACCTGCAGCAAATGAAAAAGGAGGAATAAGCTCGGGTCTGGCATACAACAAAAAAAAATCCCCATACTATAATTTCGGCATACCAAATCAACAGCAATAACTGGGGTATTTGAAGCCACAGACAACAATGTTAAGTAACAGTTGCAGAAAACATGGCAAAATAACGTGCTCTGGGGGACCACATACTTGGGTAAAGGGATTTCAGGTAAGAGTATCCTGGCATTTCCACTGAATGTTCAGCTAGTATTTTAAACCATGGTGTCTGGAGAAAAATCCAGCCTCATGCAGCATCCTTATAAATCATTTGTGTCAGCTAAGGATTGCTGTTAAAAAGCCTGCATGCCATGTGTTAGATGTCAATCCAATAGGCCTCATGATGGATTATGCACCAGAGAAAGTAATTCTGTGATCCTTGCAAAAGAGATTTGGTTGCCCAGTGGCCAAAGTAATCTGCTGGGTTCCCAAGAGGAACGCAATGTGCAAGAGAAAAATAGAAGAGTAAGGCTGGAAGGGATCTGTGGAGATCTCTAGTCCAACTTCCCTCTCAGAGAAGGGGCCGACTTCAAAGCCGTAGGCAGCTGCTCAGGTCCACATTCAGATGAATTTTGATTGTATGCAAGGATTGCAATTCTGCCACATTTCTGGGCACTTTTTCAAATGCTTAACCATATGGCAGGTGTGATTTTTTGCTCGGAGCTGCAGACACCCATGGCCCTTGTATAAAGCAAGCTAACAACACTCCAGAAAAATACCTATAAATAATTTATGTTTTTTTCTTAAGTAAAAACATGGTTTAAAGATCAATAAATGAAAAGACTACCAGAGACGTCAGTTCAGACACTAACGTATCTGAAGCAAATATGCAAACAAATAAATTGTTGCAGTGTTAAGTTAGTGGGAATCCAACTGCAGACACAAAACTATTGAACACAACAGCCAGCTGTGTGACAACAGGTGAATAGAGATTAATACAGTGGAGCACAGAGAGATGTTGCCCAAGCTCACACTCTTAGGAACAACTTATCCTCATGACTGAAAGAAGATTTACCCATCCTAGCACTGGCTAAGCCCATCACATTTATTGCTGCCTCCTCCTGTTCCCACATTAGCTTTTTAGACAACTATAGATAATGTTCACTCTTTTTGGAAAGCTACTGAACTTCTTTTAGTTCACTCCCCTGACACCATTGATCCTGCTGCTGAACATATTCACAAATACCAGGAACAAGCACACTTCATGAAGGTGCTGCCTCAGCTAAGCTTCTGCAGCACCCAAAAGCTTCATTTCCAAGCTAATTTTGCCTGGCACATCATCAGGAGGAAGAAGTAGTCTCAACTCTCCCTAACAGACCCTGGGGCTTTTATGGCAGTAAGGACCTCCTGTACCATCTGAAGAATCCATCACACTTCTACCTCTTACCAGCATGATGGTCCATGGGTCCACACCATGAACAGGATTAAGTATAAGCATTATGGGTTCAAGCACCAAATTATAAGGAGTCGTGTCAAGTCTGCACTGCAAAGCACGCTAGAGAAGATCTCACCTCCTTAAGAGAAGCGGAGATGCCTCTGGAAGTCACCGTCTGCTGGCGTAGAGCTACTGCTGCAGGCACCACCAAGCAGGTAACCACAGCCTCCAAAACAAATCCAACAGCAACAGAAGAGGGGCTTCTGCCTCAAGTTTCCCTCGGTCCAGTCACTGCCTGGGAACTGTCTGAAAGAGATTATTTAGCTGAAAGCAGCTCTGACAGTGACTCATCAATGAAAAGAGATCAGGGTGAACCCTGCACTGACCTTTCTGGAGCTGCCGGTGTGAGCGGCACAAGGTACCCCCCCCCCGCCCCTCCCTGAGCGCCGCAGAAGCGCCTCCCAGCCCAGCTGCGCCGCGCTAGGGCACAAGCCAAGGCTGCTGGAGCCTGGCACGGGGCTGCGCTGCCCGGCGCGGCAGGGCCGGACCCTGGCACCACTCGTACCGCCCGGCCCGGGGCGGGGGGGACCTCAGCGCCGGGCTCGGTTTTCTAGCTTCTAGCCGGGCCGGTCTGGGCCCGGCGGGGCGGGGCGCGGCGCAGCCCGGGGAGGGCGGCAGGGACGGGTGAGCGGAGCAGAGGTGTGGGAAGGCAGAGAACGCCAGCTGCAGCCGCGGAAACCGGCGGGGCGGGGCGCGGCGCAGCCCGGGGAGGGCGGCAGGGACGGGTGAGCGGAGCAGGAGGGGTGCGAGGCAGAGAACGCCAGCTGCAGCCGCGGAAAAAATAATAAAAAAAGGAAATTTCAGCCGGGTATCTGGAGGAAAATGATTCACCGGGGTGACGCGGCACGCTGGAAGCAAGCCCAGAGGGGGACAGCTCATGGGCTGGCGGGGACCGGCAGGGCCCCTCTGCTGGGAGGGGGGCCCCCAGCCCGCAGCCCCGCCGGGGCAGCGGATGCAGACCGGCTGCTCACCGGACCCCACAGCGCGAGAGCCACGGCCGTGCAGTCGGCTGGGGCAAATCGGATCAGGCAAACAAACTTCACACGGTAAAAACGGTGGTATTTGGTGCCACAGGAGACTGGAGGCTGGTAGGATCAAGCTGGGCCAAAGGGTCTTGACTGACCCCTGAAAAAGGCTCTGAAGGAGGTACTGCAAGGAATAGGGTCAGACTGCCCTAACCCACCGGCACAGGTCCTGGGGGAGCGCAGCAGGACAGGGCGCATAGCACAGCCAGGCTTACGTGCTCTCCGGCAGCTGCCTCTCCTCCTCCCAGCACTGCCAGGCCCTGCTGGGCTTGGCAGGCGCTGGGCTGGCCTGGGAAGGCACGTCTTACGCCCTGTCTCCAGGATAAGGAGTCTGTATGGCTTTGACTTTCTCTGCATGGTGATAGCTGAGCCTTGATGATAGGACTCATTTCCATTGGTCTCAAGAAACCCCCGAGTTTAGCCAACTTTACCGAGTTTTATCACCAACTTTAGCCAAGTTTAGTACCTGAGCAGCAAGAAGCGAAACTGTCCAGATGTCCAGTGGCCCATCCTTCCACTGGCCTAAGCTCTCAAACTGTAGCGCACATGAAGCTGATTACAGCATGCCAACTACACATTTCTGTAGCCAAAAACTGATTTGACCCAAATTCAGCTTGCACGGCAGCTGGCCATTAGACTGGATCAGCGCTGGTGGAGTCTAGCTCCACTAGCAGCAAGAAGCGAAACTGTCCAGATGTCCAGTGGCCCATCCTTCCACTGGCCTAAGCTCTCAAACTGTAGCGCACATGAAGCTGATTACAGCATTGCATCTTGACAACTCTTTATTTTAGTAGTGAATTGATCCAAATTCAGCTTGCACGGCAGCTGGCCATTAGACTGGATCAGCGCTGATGGAGTCTAGCTCCACTAAGCAAAAGGGGAAAGCGTGAAGGCTATACCTGCGGTTGCATGAAGTCCTTCTCCCCTCTGAAGCCTGAGCTGCCTTCTCCTCCCCCTCGGCTGCAGCTGGAGGGAGAGGACAGAGTGTAACAAAAAGGGTGGCATCAGTGCAGCACTGGCCTGCCTATGTGTAGGCTGCCCTGGAAGCACCTTAAAAGCCTCATCTGGAGTTCCTCAACTGGTTAGTACCAGCATGGCTGCAAAGTAAGCATCCTGCTCCCAGTGTTACCTTATACCCTGGCACTGGCACAGGCACATGCAACCACACAGGGAACTGAGCTCATGAAAAGTCAAAGCACTGGTTTTGTTCTCTAAACCACAACCCCACACAGCTTCCAGACCCAGCATGTGCTGCATGACTCACGAAGGGGAAGGTGGTTACAGGACCAGCAGCAAAGGCAGCACAGGAGGAGCACAGGGGTGCCTGCCATGCAGCCACCACAGACCCACCTGCTCCACGAGGGTCCCAGTCTGACACGGGTAGAAAGTGCCAGCCCTTCGCCCCGCACAGCCGCCTGTGCCACGGCAGGCCAGGAGAGATGATTGGGGAGGGGCTCAGCAAGAGGCCTGACAGGAGCAGCAGGTGACAGTGAGCGATCTGCACCGAACACGGGCGACACTGCCAGCTCGGCCTGGCGGCGTTGCCGGGCACAGCGTTTTCCGGTGGCAGTCCCCCCCAGCCGGCCCCAGGAAGGCTCTGATGCCTCCAGGAGCC